GATGATGTGTTGCTGTGTTATTTGTTGCGAAAGAAACAAAGAAAACGTATGAGTTCAATATTCAAAACCAGACGTGAAGAAGGATCTTTCTGTCGGTGGTCAGTGGTCGGTTTTCTGCTACTAATTCTACCAATTGCTCATCTTGGTCACCAGAAAATTTAATTTCTGCCATTATTTTACTCAACAACACACGTGCTGCCTGAGCCCGTCGCGATACACTACTGGTCCGAGAGCGGTCTCCTGTCCTTTGTCTCTGTCGCCTGTCTTTGTCTCGCGCTCATAATTGTACTTCATACAATTGTACAGAGAGCAGACAGGAAGCGACCAGTCTCAGCCTCGTAACTCTGTCGCCTGCCTCGGTCGCTTGTCTTTGTTGCGTGTAGCCAAATTGTACCTTAAGGCTAACAAATTGAGAGCAAATTACCAAGTATCAATACTGAAAAATATATCCAATAAATGCTATGAGCACAGACAGTAAAACTCGATGTTACATTCATCCAACTTCCCAGTCATGTAAAGTGAATTATAACAATATAATAAATACTGTATTACATACACCTGAGACTTCATAACCAAAAATTTGTGTGTGGTTCAAAGCGAGGGGAGGATCAGGAACTATGAAGCTAAGCAATCTTAATAAATAACCTACATTTCTGCATACACAAAGTAACAATTGCTCCTTCTGTTCCATACAGCAAATACTTCAAAAGCTCGGCTTGGATAAGTGTCAACATTAAAAACTAGATCATTTTTGGTGTTCATTCGCAGATCTTACAACTTTACTCTATTGAGAGCGCAGACCAATGAGGAATGCTTTGAGATTCAAGAGTAGAGAACAGAACACTAAAAATATTGCTACGGATATATGATTGTTTAAAAACGTTACGTTGCCAAACATTGATATGAAATATAAACATCACAGTGAACACATTAGATGTGGCAGCGTTGGCAACCTTCATTTGATTCTTAGAATGCCACAAATAAGATTATTCTAGAATTAAAATAAAAGTTAAAATAAGGGCTCTTGGCGGCTTATACGGTTATGCCATCTCGTAAACGTAATTAGTCTTTGTTCCTAGCTGAAAAGCATTTCTGAAAAGGAAGGAGTCCACATATAAGAACAGGATACAAAAACATAAGACACTCGAAGAAGAACAAAAAGTCCTTTTCACCTATATCTGTGTTTATCAACCAGGGGTCCACGAGTTTAATAACTCTATTATTTTTATGCCATATTGCTGAAAATTTAATTTTTTTTCCATCACACTTTTTACTTCCACACTGGAGTTATTTTTATTTAGTGTTCTGTCTGACGACAGGTCCATATGAACAGGATCCTTCCATCCTTTTCTCGGACTGGGACCTGTTCATATACATTCTTGGCAGATGATCCAGAAGTGGTTTGCCATTGCCTTCTTCTGTGTGTGAATGGAGTAATTGTTGGGATGCCACGGAGGAAAACTCCGTGTTGCCTACACCACGGCCTTGCCCAACACAAGTTATAAATTCAGGCACCGCCGGGAATCGAACCCGAGACCTCAGGATTACAAGGCCAGCGTTCTAACCGCTAGACCATCGTAGCGGTACACTGGAGTATAGAAGACAAAATGTCATTCTACATCCTTTTTAATGAAGACGTATTAGATAATTTTGGGTAGGGGGTTTGCGGCACCACAAATGTTGAGCAACACTGATCTAATACTTTCATGCTTCAGTCACCTATGACAATACATTACAGCGCAGCACCTTAGTACACAACCCTGAGAGCGGGGCATCTACAGAGTCAGGACAGTGGTCAGAAAGGATGGGCTAGCAGGTGGACTGGTGTGTGTAGCTTTTCCTCTTAAGCAGTGCAGGTCAAGTTATGTTTAGAACAAAATATGATTTAATACATTTAATTTTGTTACAGCTATGAGGCTTGGATCAAAAATCCAAGAAGGCGCTTAAAAATAACAGCCTTGTGAAAAAGTTAACCTAAAATGCTTCTTTATATTTACAACAGACAATTGACAGCAAATACTTTTTTCAAAACATAAGCTTTTCCTTGTGTTACTCCATTTTTTATGCCTCCCCAAATGAATCTGATAGGATTTAAATTGCGCTGGCATGGAGGAAGGTGCAGTGCATCACATTCATTCTTTTTAATTATATTCCTGATTACTAGCAATGACACTGATTTATCCACTTCTGGCTGAGATGATAATTATGATGATGCATACACTGTTGTTTCCGATACAAAATAAATTCAATTGTTTTTGTTACGAATAAGTGTGAATTTTTAGTTTTGTGCTGTGTTATAAAAATATCCCGGGCTGGACGCTCGAGTCCGGGATAAAAAAAATACATCAGGAATTTACGTGACCATACCACCCGACACCGGTTTACCCGATCACGGGATAGAGAGGAATGGAGGAGATGCTGGGGCCCGCGCGCGAGCCGATGAACGGGTCGTTTAAGTGCTACAAAAATATGGGAATTTTAGTCACAGTAAAACAATCACATTTTGGCAGTGAATGTAGTTGCGACTAATACGAATAAAATCTTCCGATGACATCAGACTCTCATGGTGGGGACAGATATGGTCCGTGAAATGTTGGTTTCTTCTTTTGACCAGTTGAAGCGACTGATCGCCCGATACAATTTTATTGAGTTTTATAGCCACAAATAATTTTACCTGTTGTTTTGTATGGGTGCGAAACATGGTCTCTCACTCTGAGGAAGGAACACAGATTGCAGGTGTTTGAGAATCGGGTGTTGAGGAGGATATTTGGGCCTAAGAGGGAAGACGATGGGGCGTGGAGAAAACTGCATAATGATGAGCTTAAAAAGGATAATCTCAGGCGGGATCTATGGGAGATAGGAGTTGAAGGAGACTGGATTTTGTTGGCCCAGGACAGGGTCCGGTGGAGGGCTTTGGTTAGTTCGGTGATGAACCTTCGGGTTCCCTAAGCCATCTGGTTGGTTGGGTCTACTATTTGGGAAGCCTGAGGGGAAGAGACCGCTGGGGAGACCTAGACGTAGATGGGAGGATAATCTCAGGCGGGATCTACGGGAGATAGGAGTTGAAGGCGACTGGATTTTGTTGATCCAAGGGTCCGGTGGAGGGCTCTGGTTAATTCGGTGATGAACCTTCGGGTTCGGTAAGCCATATAGTTAGTTAGTTAGTTAGTTATGTCGCTGCAAAAGCTTCAAATCATATACAGACTAATAAGAAATTCCCTCTCTTCCTCATAGGCAAACTGTGAAATCAGCAGCACCACACATTTCCCCTCATCTGCTAAGGAGGTACAGTAGGCAGGTAGGACAAAGGCTAGGATTAGCACAGACCAGCACAGACTCGCATCTCAAGGTAGAAGTACAGCAGGTACCCTTCCAGCTAGTGCACGAGCACCGGAGGATTCAGCACCATGCCGATGTGCTATAAAATTTTTTCATCAAAGGATTATCCTGTATAATAATTTCAATATCTACCACGTCATGAAACTATCCCACACTTTCACGAGCGTCTAAAGGAAAAACCATCAGCAATGATGTATGATTATCCTTCGATCCACACATCATCTGCCGTTTTACATGAGGTGTATGACACAAATCTTATATTATCTTCTAGTTCCTACATCTTCCATACATCTTACCTCCTCAACTAAATCACGATAGTACTATAATAATTAAATCCCTGCGAGTTCATCTGCCTGAGGTTCAAATACCTTCAATCTGAGCTCCGTTTCCCATTCTAATCTGACTAAAGGTTAAGTTGAGTTTTCAGAATTCATACCTGAAACACAGAAGAGTCACACATCCTCCACTGGTTTGATCTTCACAGGATTTGGTTGCATGATGGAGTTGAAAGGGTCATCTTCTTTGGCTGCGCAAATAAGCGACAGTTATATTAATTAAATTTCAGACAGCCATCTATCACTCTGATAAATTCTTATATCATAGCTACTGGAAAGTTTATTAAATGCTCACGAATGAAGGGGAGAGAGAATCATCTGTAAAGTGCAACTGAGGTAAACAAAGTGTTTAAGTATGGAAATTCCACCCACAAACTCAAAGAAAATGTGAAGGTGCAGAAAATAATCATTGATATAATAAATCAATCTTGGTGATGAGCATGAGAGTATTAATCTTTTATGGATTAATGTTCAATTTGTATACCTCAATTACTTTTGATTCCGTTGGAAGATTTTATGTTCTCACAGTTTAATTGTGGTCTTCTGGACCAGTGTGTCATCGAAACTTGCACGTTTTTTTACAAAAGTTTATGAGAGACATGCTGCCTCCATCTTCAGGGTTGAAGTAAGTAGGGCTAAGGTGTTGACTGTGTTGCGTGTGGGAAAGCAGAAGGATCTGATGAGCGACGAGGCAATCAGAGCTATGGAAAGGTTAAATATTCGTTCTAATATTATCTTCCCATCTACGCCTGTCTTCCAAATGCCTCCATAATGCAAACTTAACAACAAATCAGGGAACAGTGAGTCGATATAAATCTCTGGATTGTGGGGGGGGGGGGGGGGGGGTCCAGAAACAGGGCAAAAACAGAGGATGAGAGGAAGCATGCATCATAACCTTCAAGAAATTATCCCTCCATTCCAGAGAAGCATTCCTCTCCTTCACACTGTTACGATGGACACTGATCTCTGTTTCTTTTCTGGATGATTCTGTCCACGCATCTGGATTTCTTGACCATGTTTATGTAAAGCTCAGTAATGGTCAAGTTCACTATGGAATATCTCTTCGCACCGATGGTACGGACCCTGTGTGCCGAAGCGGGAAGCACAAAATACCTATTCATTGAATGGTGGGCATAACTTAACATTCAAAAAAAAAATGTTGGCGTCACTGGCCTTCCTGAACGCTGTATGATCCTACAGATATCAATACCCAGGAAAGGGAGGTGGACTGGATGCATGTTCATCCACAGTCCATCACGTTTTGGTGGAGGATCCAGAACACGAATGTGTTTGTAGACGTATCAGAACCAGCAGAGGGGTTTGTAAGTTACACCACCGAGTTCTCCAGGTCAAAGTCCTTTATCGAGAAGTTGGCAGACACCAGTGACAGCAGCATGCTGTCACAGACCAGAAAAACTTAACGGGTACCCTGTAAATGATCAACATCCTAGCCATTCTCAGTTAAACAATGAATATTAATTCCTCTGAAACAATTTAAGCAATAAATATACCCACAAAACAAGATGGAAGAACAGCCCAGAAGACCACAATTTGAATTCCACCACTACATTAAAATCTTCGTTCATTTTTGCAAAGTGGTCAGTCTGGTCGCTACATAAATGGTGCATCGACTCAAGACCAGAATATGTGTGACAGAAACAAATATCCGTGTGCAGAAAGAACCAAAGGAGATGCCACATGTGTTGCTTATCTTTCAAAGAACAGTCACTATGACTTACAGTATGCAATGATGTGACCCTGCGTGTAGTTCACACGACAAGTGTTGTACAGAGGGCACCGGCTCCAGAAGCAGCAAATGACAATTGTTACAGTGAGCACAAGGCAGGTACAGATCACAGTCAGCCCCAATGCCATCACCTGCCTGTGACAAGAACGTACGGTAACATTGAAAAATAACGGTATGTTAAGAACTACTTTTCTTGGTCGTCATTCTTAAGTTTGTACTAATGCATTACAACACCAAATGCAATTCCTCCACTATTATTATTATTATTATTATTAACCCTACATTTCTCATGGTTACAGAAGAGAAGAAAGGATAGTTATTAAAAATAAAGGATTAGTCATGTTTTATAGTTAAAATAATGAAGACATGAAAGCTGTCTGTCGGCTTAATTAACGACATGAAACTGCATTGGTGATAAAAGTACAATGAAGTTACTTACCTGTGGTCAATTTCATATAAGGGCTTGTGTGATTGGCAGCATGGTGAAAGATTTCCTGAAACCCACCCCAGGTGGCATGACGGTTGAGTTTCCAGGCAATGTTTACTTTCTGTGCGGAAATAAACATGGTCAACAATTGTGTAATTTATTTATGTATGGAATTAGTTACATGTAAATCCAAATGTTCACACTTTATCCTTCCAAGTCCTCTATCAATCATTCTGGTCCATTGTCAGACTTCATTATATTTAAAAACAAACATAACCTCGTTGGTCCCACGTCTGAGCAGAATAAG